TTGAACACGTAAATGGGCGGACTGCATCATCTGCTTTGTTAATGAGGCCAGCATCGCCATTATTTTAGGGAAATAAATAAGGCAGGGCTCCTTCCACGTGGTGTCCGCTAATCGCCGTTTCCTTTGCACTGTGAGTTGGAAGAGAACGCAGTAATTTGCAACATTTCGAAGGATAAAGCGCCGAGACTAGAATGAAGTTGAAAGCGCGCGCGGAGGGCCAGCCTCGCATCAAAGAGCAAGATGAAGTCTTTGTTACCGTCTCGGTATTCATACATGTCATGGACGTGTTCACAGAGGATTTTATACAAGGAATCTTTTATCCGCGATCCAGTTGAAAATAAAAGCTTTGGTCAAAAAATAAAGAATGAATAAAAAAGGACTTGTGTTCCGTTTTCCAAATGTTTGCTTTCTGATCAGATTCAATTCAAAGTGAATCCTTTTTGCATGATGCGTTATCGGATACTGTTAAGTGCGGACATTTAACGGGGAGGAATTTCATACCGCGATACCGTTTCAAAATTGCAAAAGCCGTTCGCATCAAGGAAGGACTTGTGAAGTCAGTATAAAAGAATCTAAATGTCGGAAGTGACTCAAATGAAGCGGAGCCTCCTCGCACCGTCTCCCTCCCTCGGCACCTGGAAACCGATATTAATATCGTGCAAACACAGGGTCAAGCCTTGGGTCGATCGCAAACTCCGTAGAGCTTGGTTTCTCTCTCTCTCTCTCTCTCTCTCTCTCTCTCTCTCTCTCTCTCTCTCTCTCTCTCTCTCTCTCTCTCTCTCTCTCTCTCTCTCTCTCTCTCTCTCTCTCTCTCTCATATCATGTCATATCATATATCATAAGATTTTCTTGCCGTTGGTTTCCCTATTTTTCTTGTATTTTTATTAAAGCTCTTCCACCTTTTTTCCCTTTTTCTCAATATCTCTTAAGTTTTGGGACATAGATGTGTGTTTTGGAGATGATAACGGCGCCTGTGTTTGCCCGCGCCCGCTAGAACTTGAGTAGAAGGTTAGGAATATGGACAAATCGCGGGAAGACACAAGACTTCGTTTATATTCACCGGGGAAATCATGGCTTGCAGGAGAGGACGCGGGACGAGGTGTCGCGTTTTCTTAGGAATCTCTCTCCCGTCGCTTTTATTCTTTTCTTTTCGGCCGAGGGGCCTTATCTGCGAAGGGCGTCCACCTTCCCCCCGCCGTAATTTGATAAGGGGGCCAGCGGCGCGGGCGGCAGGTGCGCCTCGCCCACCCCGATGATCAGCAAATGGAAGCCCGCTCATGAGGAAGGAGGCCCGCTCATGGGTGTTATGAGGCGCCTCTTAAAACTTTCGTGATGGCCTTTGGGATCCTCGCTATTGCGCGCTTAACTTTCCCCGGCGGCGATTACGGTTAAGGATGATACCCACTTCTTTTGGGCGATGAGATAAGCCAAAGCTTTCTCATAATTTCACCTTTTGTTCAGGAAGTTTCTCAATCTGTTCATATTTTTCATTTCTTCCGAATTCCCTGTTCCCGTTCTCAATTTCGGGAAATTGGCTTTAGTCGAGATTATTCAGTCTGTTTGCATCAAGTGCAAGAGATGAGATAATTTGAGGTGATTGATATGCAAATGAACTCGCAGCGAGTCTCCCGCATTCAGCGTCCGGAATGTTCGACGTCCTGACTCGCCGTTCCCGTTCGACCGCATCTTTAAAGGCCGGGCCGGGCCGGGGCGGGCGTCCTCGGCGTCCGCGTCTTGAAGGGCTTGATCAGGGGCCGCTATTTCGGACGCACGTTTTCCATTGTGGGCGTGCCAGAGGACCCACTTTTCAGCGACTGAGTGGAGGTGGGAGGATGGGCGGCGTGGGTGGAATGTAATCGCATATTCATAGATCTCACTCGGGTTGTGGGCGGTCGGGGAGAATGGATGAGGGACTCATTATTTAAATAGGGTCCATTATCCTTTTAGGGAGGATTAGGGATTTCCCTTCGAGCCGAGTTTTCAAGGGAAATGCATCAATCTTCCTCACCCCCAAAGTGTCTTGAGAATGCGTAACGTCGGTCACAGCCCCCTGAACTGAGTAAAACAACGAGACAGACAGAGATACAGAGATGGCGAGAGGGAGAGAACCAGAGGTAGCGTGACGCAATCCACAGGTCCGGTCCATAAGGAAACTTTTTAATGAGATGTTCCGTCCATTTGAAGTTTGTCGCTGGTATTTGCACACCGCTTTCGCGCCCCGTTGGTTTCCCGGAGGGGGGGGGCTTTCTGGGAGATGGTGTTTAACAAAGTGGCCCCCTCAGCGATCGTTGTTTTCCCTTTTACGAAGGCCTCGCACGTTTGTCAGTCTCAAAGGTTAGTGTCGAGGGGTCATGAGAATTTAGGGAAGGCAAGGGGAGGAGCATGGGAGGGAAGGGAGGGATCGCTCGATCACTCGCAAAGAGGACCTGATGTGTCAGTGTCTACACTTCCAGAAGACGGTTGTGGGCGAAGGAGTTTTTGTATCGGGTTTAGTTGTTGCATGGCGGCTCGACTAAATGTTTATGACGATCAAAGCCTGCAGTCAGGCCGTTAACAAGAAATTTTGAATTACTCTTGTGTGTTATCATTTGCGTCCTTATTTCTTGTCTGCGCATACGGCAAGCTTCCATATCTGAAGGGGGCCCAGAGCGAAGGCCTTTGCACATCCCCTTTAAACGAAGCTTCCTGATTGGTGATGACTGATTATCTGTGGGCCGAAATTAGCGTCTTTGCTCAGGACGAGGGGGCAGTTCTTCACAGACGGCGTGTGGAGTCGCCCCCTAAGACGCACGCCATCCACTCTGCAGGTGGAGCGGTTGCTGCGCCTTTGCAACAGGTTCCTGATCAGCCGGATTACGAAAGTTGCATGCCGCGCGTGCCCCGGGGATTGATTAGAAATTGGTGTTTGGTTGGCAGAGCGGGCGGGCTGGCAGGGCGAAAGGGGCCGGCCAGATGGTGCGAGGTTTAGGTGGATGGGTGCTATTAAATTACTCGGCCGGGATTACCGCGGACGGAAAGTTTTCATATTTGTCGGCATTTTTTTGCGAGCGGCGGATGCGGGGCGGAGGCTCCGGGGAGCAGTTTCGCATGACTCCGAACGCGGCCATAAATTCAGAGCTTTGGCCGAAGTTATGAGATCGCGTTCTTGACAGAGTTTGCGTGATAAATCTCTCGCACGTTGAAGGCGAAGGAATTTTTCGTATGGCTCCTGCAAGAATGCAATTACAGGGGGAGGGCGGCACGGGGTAATTTTCATAGCTCTCCCCTGCCCTATTCATCACTCACGCGAGTTGAGCCGCAGTCAGAGATGGCCGCTGCGAGTTCCATTACAGGAAAGAGCGTCTTGCATGGTCGCCGGGAAATGTTCTGGAATGGAAGGTGACCGCGATGGTGACGGCGCCGCATGAAGATGCGTGGTTGAACAGGGAGAGGTATTGTCCTGGCCGGCGGCTCACATCGATTACTGCCGAGGTCTCATCTCGTTTACTTGGTTGTCATGTGTCTCGCTAGTTATCATGTCCTCGGCCATTCCGCCCGTCCTAGTGTTCTCGTCTGGTGGTCTCGGTTTTTGCCATAGATTTCAAGGACTGCGTTTTGTAGAACAGAGTCAAATCTGTTTAAGGTCTCGTCAAGTTTCAGCAGGAATTGCCCTTTCTCGTATACGTTTCATGGTTTACTAGGAGAGAATCTTTGTGTTAGTTGAACATACATAAGGCCTCTTTGTTATCCACGAGGCAGACAGTTCTGTTGAGGTGTGCGGAAGAAAACGGCAGTAAACATAATAAATGTTGACCTATTTTGAATACAGTACGGTTAACGGTAAACGGTAAAGCGGTCAGTGTACCCCTGGATGTCCACAATATGTAGTGTAAACCGAACACTATATGTATGATATTACATATTGTTTTTTTTTATATGTATATATACATATATACATATATATACGCGTATACTGGAATCTCAAATGGTACACTACATCTACACTTACTCTAAAATATCCTGGATTAGATATGTTAAAGATGGCGTCGATAATATACTGGCGCGTGAAGCAGGACTGGAGGAGGCGTCGGCTGATATTTACAGAGTAGGAGCGCGTGTGCATCAGCTAGGGGCGAGGGAAACTTGGTTTAGTGAAGAGGCGAGGCCCACCCGGCCACCCCCTCCTGCGAGACCCGTGTTCCAGGTCAATATTTAGGCAGGCTTTGATACACCATCACCTGGAGCATTTGGCAGTGACAAGGTGGTTTATGAAAGCTCTCTATATATACACATATTGGATTTTTTGCCGTTGGGAGATTATGATCAAACAAAGTCGTCTTTGGCGAGCTTCTTCTCAGACTGTGATTAACACTTTCACTAGTTTTTTGTCCAGCTGTGTTAGTTTTCTTTGAAATGGCCTGTTGCTTTATTCCTCGTGTTTTTCTTCTCTTGTTCAGTCATTATTATTATCGATTTCCCATTCCACTGAATTGTTCCTGTTTGAGCCACGAAATAAATATATATGCCAATATGGAAAGCAGGAAAGGTCGTTTAGTAACATTCACTTTCCTCCTCTCCTCTTCTCTCCTCTCCTCTCCCCTCCTCCCCCCTTCCGCTCTTCTTTCCACTCCTCTATTCAAACTCTCTAACTCTCCTCTTCTTGTTCCTCCTCCCCCCCATTACCCCCCCCCCCTTCTCTCTCTCTCTCTCTCTCTCTCTCTCTCTCTCTCTCTCTCTCTCTCTCTCTCTCTCTCTCTCTCTCTCTCTCTCTCTCTCTCTCTCTCTGCCCCCCTTCCTTCCTCTGTCGTTTTTCAGTCCCTTCTCCGCTCTCAATAAGTTGATCGATTTGGATGCCAAGCCGTGCATCTTATCACCATCGCCCCTCTTTCGTTATAAGTCATATAGGGTGTGAGGTTGGCTGGGCAGCTTTAAGGGGTGACAAGCTAGTCAGCGTCCTTTAGGGGTAGGGGAGGGGAAGGGAGGTGTGGGGAGTGGTAGATCCTTCGGCAGATAGCGCGGGCATGGGCGACGTCAGGCATGCAGACGCCACCGTGTACAGGAGAGGATGCAATATATTCCTTGCTGACAGGGCGAACGTTTCGAGGAATTCGACTGATAGTTTAAGAAATATAAACTACCTAAGAATTTTCGTAGAATGAAGAATGAGTTTGGAGTTCTGGTAATAGATACTATTGGAAAATTCGCTGTTATGAGTTGGCATGTTTGAGTTTGAATTTGTTAATATAGTTTAACTATTCATACGTTGTTATCGCCTTTAAAACAAGAAAGACTGTACGCATGGACTTGAGTTTAGAGGCTATGTATATCCCATTTAGGCCACTTTCAAGATCTTTAAACGAATTATTACCTAATATGTTTCAGTTTCCGTTTTGACGAAATGAGAGACAGAGAAAAAAAAAACATACAATCCGTACTAACACCAATCTCAGGGTCGGTCATGCGCATTAGCGAAAAACCATGGTATTTCGGTTTGTAGAATAACGGTAGAGCGTGTAATCATGAATTATGCGACATACCCACCATAAGATTTACGGATCTATGGGAGTCTGCAAATCTCAGAACACCAGAACCGCAGGCCGTAAGAAATCCTCCCGCGCGCTTTGGTCCTAATGAAGGCTCGCGAGTCGAATCCACTCGTCATTTACTGCAAGGGACGTCGGTCATCATTTATTTTATAAGGAATCACTTGCCATTTACTTTAAGGGGCTTCACAGGACATTTGCTTCCAAAGATTATCATTGTGAATAGCCAATTAAAAATCAGTCGGCGCCGAGGCAGTCGTTGTCGCGGTTATTCCCTGTCCTCGCGTATCTCTCTCGGGCCTTATGCTTCCTGTTGAGGTTTGTTCTTGTTCTCACGTTCTTGTTCTCGTTCAGCAAGACTCGAAGCGTATAGGGACCTGGTCCTTACTCCTCCTTTTAGTTCTTAGATTTTGATTATCACTGGTGTCTTGTTACTTGCCGTAGCTGTTTTTTTTTCCTAGGCACATGTTCCCCTTTCAATCAAAAACTTTTTGCTGCGTCGCACTTCACGAGCTAGAATTTTAACATGATTCCAGTTGTTGGCTGTGTTGTGGCAAATGTCTGTTTTGTGAAGCTGTGGTAACAATACGGTTAAAAAGGGATAAGCATTTTTTTTTTACTCAAATTCTATCGCTGATTTTAGCCTTACTGTAGTCCAAAACCGAAATATTACAAACTAAAGACGTAATGTAACCAAATGTAATTTAAGATATAGCTGTATGTTTCCGTAAGGTGCAGGAAGCGCATGGATCATATCTTATATATGCGGTGTTTATTTATTTATCCATCCATATAATTTCCATCACTAACCTAGAATGTTCGTTCCCTGCAGCGGTAATTTCTAGAACCCCAGAAAAAAAACGGCTTTATTTGGATCCAAAAGTTTTATAAAGTCTAGTTTAAAGGAGAGTAGTGAGGCGATATCATCTGTCATATATAATTTATATACGATTTCTGATGCTTTTGGTGGCTAGAGTATGATTTTGGTAATGGTAATAGTATTTATTTTACCCTCTCTCTCTCTTTCTTTCTCTCTCTCTCTCTCTCTCTCTCTCTCTCTCTCTCTCTCTCTCTCTCTCTCTCTCTCTCTCTCTCTCTCTCTCTCTCTCTCTCTCCCTCTCTCTCTCTCTCTCTCTCTCTCTCTCTCCCTCCCTCTCTCCCTCTCTCCCTCTCTCCCTCTCTCCCTCTCTCCCTCTCTCCATCCCTCCATCCCTCCCTCTCTCTCTCTCCCTCTCTCTCTCTCTCTCTCTCTCTCTCTCTCTCTCTCTCTCTCTCTCTCTCTCTCCCTCTCTCTCTCTCTCTCTCTCTCTCTCCCTCTCCCTCCCTCCCTCCCTCCCTCCCTCCCTCCCTCCCTCCCTCCCTCCCTCCCTCCCTCCCTCTCTCCCTCTCTCCCTCCCTCCCTCTCCCTCCCCCCCACACGCGCGCACACTTTTTCCTCTTATTTCTATTTTCTCTTCCGTCAGCCTTTCCTCTCTTATCGGAAAACCAAGACTTTCCAGACGCTTATACACGTGTGTCATGTCACTGTTGTTCCACGGTCAAGCCTGCACTTCCCTGCGAATTTTTATCCTTGCATCGCGTGTTGTTGTGCAGTTGAAATATTCCATGCAATGCGCAAGAAAGGGACATCGATTAGGGATATGAGGCGCAAATAATCGTCATGATTGCAGAGTTGACAATGCGACCGACTCCGTTTACCATCAAGTGTGCAATATTCTAAATGTGTGTCACAGGTCAAAGAGCCTTCAAGGAGAGGAACAAAAGCCCTCCTTTTTGTGCCCTCCGGTCTGTGCACGGACACAAAGATACACTGCAATTTCTCTCCGGAATGTAAACTCAAAAGTTCAGTAGGATATCTGCTCTCTTCTATCTCGCTCTCCCTCACGCCTCTCTGTCTGTCTGTCTCTCATCTCTCTTCTATCTCGCTCTACCTCACGCTTCTCTGTCTGTCTGTCTCTCATCTCTCTCTCCTATCTCGCTCTACCTCACGCTTCTCTGTCTGTCTGTCTCTCATCTCTCTTCTATCTCGCTCTCCCTCACGCTTCTCTGTCTGTCTGTCTCTCATCTCTCTCTCCTATCTCGCTCTCCCTCACGCTTCTCTGTCAGTCTGTCTCTCATCTCTCTCTTCTATCTCACTCTCTCTCCTTCATGTTTCTCTCTCTCTCTCTCTCTCTCTCTCTCTCTCTCTCTCTCTCTCTCTCTCTCTCTCTCTCTCTCTCTCTCTCTCTCTCTCCCCCTCTCCCCCTCTCTCTCTCTCTCTCTCTCCCCCTCTCTCCCCCCCCCCTCCCCCCCCTCTCTCTCTCTCTCTCTCTCTCTCTCTCTCTCTCCTCTCTCTCCTCTCTCTCTCTCTCTCTCTCTCTCTCTCTCTCTCTCTCTCTCTCCCTCTCTCTCTCTCCCCTCTCCCCTCTCCCCTCTCCCTCCCCCCTCTCTCCCCTCTCTCTCCGCTCTCCGCTCTCCTGTTCTTTCTCTGCCTTTCCTCTCTCTCCTTTCCCCTCTCTCTCTATGCATTCACAGGCATTATATAGCTGATCTTCTGAACTATAATTGTTGCATCACCGAATACCAGGAAATGGATGCTTTGATTTTGATTTTGCGTCCATGCGGTTCTGGGTGTTGTTCAGGTGAAACTAACGAGAGAATTGTTCATGGGAGCGTGGGGAAGGACGTACATTTTTCAGTTTATTTTGCCTGTTTATCTGTTTTTGTTGGAATTTGGTGGCCGTGAGTTATTTTAAAATCGCGGTGACCTCCGCAGTAGCATTATGTAATGGTTTGAAAACCTCTTATGATAATGCACTTCAGACTTATAGGTCGTATTTTGGTGCTGTTTATTGCGATATATTAATTGCAGTTGATTGTTGTTTTCAAGTGAGAATATCGCTTCCCATGTTTTACTCCGCACCGGGCGGAAATAAAACTGTGATTGCAAATGCTGGTTAAACTGACGGAGATGTGATTTGCGTTAGTGATATTGCCATTGTAAAGTGTAGCTCTGATTTTTATGAAAAGTAGGCCAATGGAGATTAAGCCGAATTTGCATAATTTGCTTTAATGACATTCTTATTGTGATACCGGCTGAACTGAATAGGTTTTATTTTCATTCGTCTCCGACGAAATACATGCAGCTGCTTTGTTTTCATAGTATGAAATTTATTTGGTCTAAATGGTAAAAACCCGTTGACATACTAATTTTTGAACATATAATTAAAATGTGCCGATTATTTCAGATGGATCTCCAATCAAGGTTGGACTTAAAGATGGAGTTAAGAAGACTGAAGTTGGTGCAGGAAGGGGCACTGCATCTGCACCCATCGGGAGCACCGCTCAGCAGCAGGCAGTGGCACAACAAGCAGCTTCAGCACAACACAAGTCTGATGAGCCAACTGACTGTTACCTCAAGGAATTGTACGCACAGATTACGTCGGTAGTTGCTTCAAAGCCTGATGAGAAGGATAACATTAATGAAGGTAAGCTCGCAATCCTGTTGTCTAGCGTGGATGGTGATGCGATAAGGACTGAAGCAATTAAGATACAATATCCTATTTCTCCAAAGGCTGGAATACTAATGATGTTGCGTTTCTCCGGCCACAGATGAGAGCGAGGATCCGGCTGCCGTGCCCATGATCTGGGTGAGCAAGTGGGTTGACTACAGCGATAAATATGGTCTTGGATACCAGTTGTGTGATGACTCCATTGGTGTGCTCTTCAATGATTTCACCAAACTTTTGTTGCTAGCTGATGGAGAGTGAGTAAACGGTTTGCTTGTGTAATCAGAATCCATTCGCAGTTTTACCCCAGGCATAATTTAACAATTTCCAGCAGTAATTACTGAAGTGATTTTTTAAGCAAAATGTGAAATGGTCTGCACTGCATTGATGATATGATTTGATTCCCTTATGATTCTTTATAATGGTAATGGCAGTATACAAATGATAATGTTTATTGGGCATCGTACTGGTATCCCAGTAAGAGAGCATTGTGTATTTTATACTTTGTTTTAAAATATAGAAATATTTTAATTACAGGAACATTCATTACATTGAGCGTTCAAATGCTGAGCACTACCATACACTGAAGAGCTACCCAGGAGCATTAAACAAAAAGGTGACACTGCTGCGCTACTTCCGTAACTACATGAATGAACACTTATTGAAGGCAGCTGCCTCTATGTGCCCAAGGGAGGGTGATGAGCTTGCCCGAATCCCCTCACTCAGGACCTACTTCCGGACACGATCCGCCATCATTCTTCACTTGACTAATGGAACACTTCAGGTAAGTTGTTTATTCTAATCTGAGTTTTGTATTTAGATATTTTACCAGTTAGCTTTTGAACTCACCATCAACATTTGTGATATTCTAGCTTCAGCTTTAATGGAAAAAATCATTAATTGCCTTTTAAACTGTTTGCAAGTATATATACACCATTCATTTCTTGAAGCTTTGATTTATGGCACTGGTAGAATTAATAATGCTTTTTTTTCTGCAGATCAACTTCTTTGAAGACCACACCAAGATTATTCTGTGTCCTTTGATGGGTGCTGTCACATACATCGACGAAAAGAGGAATTTCAAGACCTACAGGCTGGCCAGCCTTGAAAAGGTTAGATTAAATTATGTAGTTTCTGTATTTCACAGGATTTACAAATTCACCCAATCAGAAAAAGTTGGAAAGAATTTTTTAAAAGTTGTTTTCCTTTTTACTAATATTTTTTTGTTAACATCTGTTTAGAGACTATACTTGTGTGCATGTATTTGTGAAAGAGAGTGAGCAATTGTAACTGAATGTATTAAGGAATGTGTGTGAGTATGAAGTTTTTTAATAGAAACACATACTGTGTGATAGATACCGACTTTGTGAATGTGTTTGTTTGATGGACAATCAAATTGATTTTTCTTTATTACATTATTCCTAAACGACCCTTCTGTCTCTTGCAGTATGGATGCCGACCTGACCTTGCGAACCGCATGCGCTATGCTCGCAACATGATTCAAAAGCTTATGGTTACGAAATCCTCTACGACCAAGTCCTCCACTGCTTCTTCCTCTGCTGCTGCCCAGCACACTCAGCCCACCACTGCTTAAATAGTGCAACGATAAAAGTTACTGTCCAAAGGTTGAATATTTATTCACCAGTTTTCTAGTTATCTATTGTTTAAGCATATATGTGCTAGATCTAAACTTGGTTAGAATAGTGACAATTTTTAGCATGTTACCTAAGTTGAAGAACATAGAGCACTTCTGTATCTCTTCCTACCTGTGACTACAAGTGTCCATGAAGTATGCCACTGTGGCAGTGCTTTGGAGGTGCTGGATATAAATATCCATTCAGGTGGATTAACTTGTACCAAAGTGATGAATGTATGTTAGGATACATCTTTGTAATTAGCCTCAAAAGACTGACGGGAAAAGTCAGTTTAGGTCATAGTAAGTCCTGATTTATATTTTCTAATAATTTTCAAGGATACACACTATTGCATGAGTAAAGACTTAGGTTTTATGATGGTTATAATAAAACCTGATAGAATGAAGGGTGCAACTTCTAGCTTGGAATCAAGATTTAGAAAATGATTGATCTCTTATACTTGTAAAGGATCTTGTTTCTTGTATCATTGCTAACTAGCCCTTTGGTTTCATATCTGTTAGCATGTTACACTGTATGCTACTTAGTTCGCATCTATGGTTATGCTATATTAATGAAATGGAAATCCTATATATTTATTGTTTTTAAACATGTTGGTTTTATTTATAGGATGTTTTTTTAAGTTTGCAATAACTGAGAGGAAAACACAAGGTGAATCACAGTATTTTGTACTACTAATTCATAATTTTTAAAGATATTATTCTAGTACATGACTTTATTCTGTTTGGTTTAGCTTATGGATTTCTATTATAATATTTTTATATTGGTTTTGATTGTATCTGGGGAGTATATTACTGTATAGGATATACCAAACTCAAGTGTGCTAGGGAATGACTATGATTTTTTTGTTTTCAGTGCTATTGGGAAATGTTGTTATTGGAAGATGGGGGTGAAATTAAGGATAGATTGTGATTACAAGAATGTTCTGGCCAGTCCAGAGACAGTTTTAATATTTTTTTTTATGATCTTGAAAGAGTGAGTCCCATACATTGTGCCCTTATGCTGATATAAGGAATTATTAAAAAAAACATTGGCTATTAAACTGTTTATTTTATGTGAACTCATGTTCACTCATGTTCTTCCTTTCCCTGTAGTAACATGAATGTAAATAATAACTGGTAGATTGTAATGTGTTTTGTACTCCCTGATTGTAACATTACATACTGACTGTACTGACAAAAATAGTATATATTTGGGTTTAAAGTCAAGGAAATTTATTTATAGATTTTCATATTCCACACTGCCTTGCAAGAAAGATTTCTGGTCACATATTTTCATCTGACTGCATATCATTTTGTTCATTATTTCCACAACTGTTTTGTAATATCACGCTGTATGTTTATTTTACATCTTGTATCTCTATCTCTTTATTTTACGTGATACATAAGTGTACATAGTCCATGCAGTAATAAAGTATGTATAATTAAGAATATTCTATTAATCCTACACTTCCAGGGTCATTTGTACTTGTATGAATTTGGACTAAGATGTGAAAGTTCTTGTTATGACAAAAATGGCAGTGGAAAACTTACTGAATCAATCTGAGGGACTGGGACATTATCAAGGGAAATATTGAGTGGGCATCTTTCTTCACTGAATTATCTTTGACAAAATTACAAGTAACTAATAAACACTGCGTTTCGGTTCGGCAAAAATTTTGATTTAGCTGAAAGTCCAAGAAAATGTAGATATGGTATGTACTTGCTTTTGAAATACTGATATACTTTAAGGTATATATTAAGAGGTCAAGGGAAAAAATCCTGTTATAAAGAGGGGGGGGGGAAGTTGGATATGACAACACATCTACACATTTACTAAATCTAAGGATAGGATAATCGTGAGAGATTATATAAACATTATGCTTATAATATCAAATTTCTCCTAAACTTGCAGTAGATCAAGTGTACAAAAAAACTGACTAAAGCTTAACATACAGTACATATGAAATTGAAATAATAACTAGTTTGTTGTCCTGTATGTTCAAAAAAAAAAAATCATAATTGCTTCCATTAAAGTGGAAAAAATGAGTTCTATAATCTACTCAAACTGGTCTAAAAGGAATGTGAAAGTATTAAAAGTTCACATTTTCTTATAGGCCTGAATGCTTCCTACTCTTGATATAAATCTGTTATAATATCTCTTGACACAAGCAGATATCTTAAAAATACTGCAAAAAGTCAGTTGTTTTTACTGATGTTATTTCTTGCCATTATTTATGCCATGTTGACATCACTGCAAATATGAATAATGTCAAAGTCTCAACAGAGAATTTGTAAATATCTAAAACAGTTTATAATCCTTTATGCAAACAAAGGTCAAACTATCAATATCTGAAGACTTGATTGCATTACCTTGCTTGCAGTTATACTTAGCAATTCTGTTTCACTTTGACATTTTGATTCAATACTTCATACGAAGGAAAATATTGCATTTTTGTTATTCACCATTTCCCGTTTCAAAGAATAAGCAATGTGACCTTTAATATGTAATGGTGAGTAATGAAATGTTCGTGAAGTGAGCATTTTGCCCTATAATACTTTCAAAATCCTAACAAACTACTTAAATAACTGAGTTATAATTATATACACCTAAAGTATCTGATTTTACAAAGTTGCCATATGGATTGCTATTCATGTAATAAGTAACATAAATCCAGAGCACTTTTTCGTGGAATTAATTATATTTTTCATAAATACCAGGCATTCTTTTCTGTGAAAATGTGGGTTCAAGTAGTGATTTTCTTCCATAATCAAAACCTTGAAATTTGTCTCCAGATACACTGAAATAAGGCGCTTCAGAGTTATATACAGTACATCAAATTAGTGTAATTTGTCCGCACATTACTTGCATCATTCCTGAGTTCGTGTCCATATATCGGGCATCGCGGTGACAAGTCATTCACACGAGCAGACATCTTTCGCAGTAATGAATATGTTATAATAAATAAATAAATGAACAGAAAATTTCACTTCGGGTAAAATACAAAGAAGTATCAGTGGTGCTCCTGCCTGAAAAGGAATCTAGTTTTACAGAACGGTCAAGGTAATTTTGTGCAACATTATGTTGCTACTTGTCATTTTCCTCTGCAGCTTGAGTCAAACATCAAACCTTCTGGCAGTCACTATCAAGTAAGGGTGCTTTCCGGACGGTCAGTGGTCGCTCGTTTGGACGGGGATCAAGACCTGCTAAAAATGTATCTTATTTGCTGCAAAAAATATGTCTATGTAACAGATATATATATATATATATATATATATATATATATATATATATATATATATATATATATATATATATATATATATATATATATATATATATATATACTCACATCAAGCTGCCTTTTCCATGCATGCTATGTGCCTATCATATCACAAATGCCCCTTATCACACAAAAGCTGACGTAATTGCAATGTATTACCTTCCTAAGGGACTTCGGGCGTGCCTTCTGGCACGGGTGCGGCGGCAGGGCGTTGGCCGTGGAAGTGGGAGAAAGCAGCAGATTCAACATTTTGCACAGCTGATCTGGATACGCTGAGGAAAAGTGACGTCAGAGGGTCCAGGGAAGTAATTCTGTGCGCGCTCGACGGTGCGGTCTCTTGCTGGGGAGTATCGGGAAGAGCCTGTGGCGTGCTTGCCGTTGATGGTGTAGTGGCTACAGAAGGTGGCGCTGTGGGTGCCGACGCAGTTGACGTGGTAACTGATGTAGTACTAGATCGCGGGGTCGTTCCTGGAATAGTGGACGAGAGGAATGCTGTTGGTGTTGTTTTCTGCGCGACGGTAGAGGGAGTCGCGGACGTAGTTTCCACAGTGGTGGACCGTTGCATCGAATCGCGGCGAGCTTGTGTTGCCAAACGACGCGCAGTGACCTCCTCAGCCCCTGGCATGATCAGGCGCACTGGATGTCTTGCAGCTAATCCTTCGGGCATCGTTGATACCTCGTTATCTAGAATCGTTGGCCTCATTGAACCAGTAGCTGTGGAGACAGGCGGAGCCGCGGATGTCACAGGAGGCGAATCAAGAAACGTTTCCTCAGGCGGGGACTGTTGAGTAATGGCGGGAGAAATGGAGGACCGAGTGTGTGCGATCTCGAGATGCCCCAAGGAAGGCGGAGGCGAAGTACCCGAGGGCAAAGCGTTAACGGACCGGTCCTGATCAACTTGCAGGATGCGGTTACTAGCGACCGCTGGGGAAGCAGGAGGGCCAGAGCTGGCCGGTGTGGAGGCGAGTTCTTGAGACAGAGAAAGCTGAGAAGATGATGCAACATTTACTGACAACGATGGCAAAGGAGATGACTGAGAAGGCAGAAGGGGGAGGGAAGTTGAAGAGAGAAGTTGGGGAGTGGGTATTACAGGCTGGTGAATAAAGTTCTTTTCTTGAGCGAGAGGATCAACAGGAGAGGGAGGTGAGCTGTTTGGAAGTGATAGCTGGGCTTCGGTAGATGGGTTAAGCGAGACATCATTTTGTTGATGAGAAGCGGATGTGCTTTGTTCTGGGATAGATGGGGGTAAAGAAGCAGATGCTGGTAATTGGGAAGTTTGTGGAACGTCAGAAGACGTGGAGACAGAGGCGTCGGACGCCGACGACTGATGCTGAGGAAAAGAGTTTGCGATTTGTGAGGGGAACGATACTAATGTGGACTGTGACGTGGCAGGTAAGGCATGAGGGGTAGTGAACGGAGGCTGAGAGGCTGGAGATTCGGATACGGGAATTGAAGGCTGGGGAATGGCAACTGCAGGTTCACGGACTGCGGTCGACCGGGCGGTTGTGTGGGTCAAGGTCTCGGGAATGACAGGTATAGGGGTTAAGGTATTTGGTATAGGTGCTTGAGGTTGATTTAGTAGGACAATGGAAGGGTCTACTGTCTCGTCGATTATTGGATTAGATGATATATCAGATAACATGTTTGGCAACATTGCAGGGGATACACGAGGCTGCGTCCCAGAGGATGGTACATGTGATGGTACATTAGATGCCACGAGCACAGCCGGGGTGATATGAGGCGAAGAAGCGTGGCTGGAAGGGGAAGCCGGTGGGTGCTGGTTCGAGGCCTGAGAGGGCGGGGCCCGGGGTGCGAAACCCGGCGGATGAACCAGGAATACCTGGGAATCTGGGGAGTTGAAGAAAGGAAGGTCCAGCAGCGAGCGAACGTTCAGCACCGAGACCTGCAAAGATAGTTCGTCTATAGTGTATCTACAGTCTTTACATGGAGGAAAAAAGCGAAAATGCTGTGACGGACGCACACCACACCTTTGTTTAAGTTATATGATGAGACTTGCCTGCTGGACACCACCGGCCAGAAGATCCTCGTGCACGGGGGGCCCGCCAACGCTGGAGAAGCCCGTCGCCCCCGCCGCCATCGTGACCATCATCCACAAAAGCATTCTTGTGAACTTGTCACTCTCCTGTTGGAGGAAGATAATATTTAGGTTAGAAAAAATCACTTATGACGATAGTATCTCTCACCATTTTTGATAGCATTCTAATATGTTGTCATTTTGAGTATATGTTTGAACGTGCGAATATCTAAATAATCATTATCATATTGTGAATAAATAGTAATGAGGAAACTTTGTGTACTGTTCACAAGTGCTTGGCATTCACAGTCTCAATTTGCATTTTCATAGGTTATATATAAAGGTTTGTGGATACTGTATAATCTGTCAACTATAAAATCCTTGCATTAAGGATGTAGACTCAAGCTTGGAAAATACAAGAACACTGGAATATTTAAAAAAGTGAATGGTTCTCGAATATTGGAAACGAATTTCACAAAATATGAAGACTAATGACATTTAACTCTATCCGAAAATGAAAAAAAAAAATCTTTACAGAGATTAAAATATGGGAATCTACAATAAACTTATTAACATATCTTAATTACAATATGTTACAAATTTAGGGAAGAAGTTGCTTTGTAATGTTACGCAGATGAATGTATTTCTGAACTACTGACATATTTAACTTGCAATATACCACAAATTTAGGAAAGAATTTTGGTATATACCGCAGCAATACAACAACAACACTGTATTGAAAGTGCGAAATAGTACAGTTCTTTATATCATAAGAAGCATATTTTTGTTTGTTGATATCAATGGCAAAAACAATAGAAAACGTCGTGATATTGGTATCTTAATTCAAAGAAATAGCAGTGTGCACTATCCATCTATCTAAAACACTAAACATACACACACGCACATAAAGTAAGTAAAATCAGTAGGTCGACCTAGTTTTGTAAAAAGTCATTAGTTCCGGTTGGAAATGTTCAAGTTCCATTCCTCAATTCGACTTGGGAAATGATTTCGCAGCCTAGTGTTAGCTGCAATGAAGAAAGAAAGAAAGAAAGGAAGAAAGAGAGAGAGAGAGAGAGAGAGAGAGAGAGAGAGAGAGAGAGAGAGAGAGAGAGAGAGAGAGAGAGAGAGAGAGAGAAGAGAGAGAGAGAGAGAGAGAAGAGAGAGAGAGAGAGAGAGAGAGAGAGATAAATAGGTAGATACACACACACACACACACACACACACACACACACACACACACACACACACACACACACACACACACACACACAAAGACACACACACACACAAAGACACACACACACACATACACACACACACACACAAAGACACACACACACAAACACACACACACACGCAGAGAAAAAAGATAGATAGAGAGTTACAGACATAACCATACAAGAGAAAACGAGCTCCATTCTTCTTGAAGCATGGGAGTATAACTTATCACAATGTCAGTTTTCAGAATCTAATAAACATTATCACGTATAATAAGTGTAATATATATAATGTATCATCTGTGTGTGTGTGTGTGTGCGTGTGTGTGTGTGTGTGTGTGTGTGTGTGTGTGTGTGTGTGTGTGTGTGTGTGTGTGTGTGTGTGTGTGTGTGTGTGTGTGTGTGAGAGTGTGAGTGTGAGTGTGAGTGTGTGTGTATGTGTGAGTGTGAGTGTGTGTGTGTGCGTGTGCGTGTGCGTGTGCGTGTGCGTGTGCGTGTGCGTGTGTGTGTGTGTGTGTGTGTGTGTGCGCGTGAGCGTGTGTGTGAGTGTGCGTGTGAATGTGAGTGTGCGTGTGCGTGTATGTGTTTGTATTCATGCACATAAATCCGTATATATGAATGTACACAGCAAAACACGGTGTTATTTCCGTCAATTTACACCGTGCGTGTACGGAAGCAAGATTAAATAATTCAGCAACGCGACAACTGCCATCGCATGATATCCAAACCGGTGCGTTCGCAAACCTCGTCATGGCGATCCATCCATTAAATTTCCTTTATATTCTCTTTTCTGCTTTCCTTTACCTTGTTTGAGTGGGGTGGGGAGGGAGCAGAAGGATAAACTGCAGTCATTTGTAAATTCAAATATATTCTTCCGTGTATCCATAGGGAAGCCACGAGAAACGAAAAATGTAAGAAAACTACCTGTTGAAAGCCAATTTGTTTTGATATATAGCCGGCATCTGGAACAATATTTCATGCTTTTCCGTCACGTCCAAATGTGAAATCTCGTCGAAAAAAAAGAAAAGAAAAGAAAAAAATATCGGAACGTGTGTTTGTATGAAGAAACTATTCCGTACATTCTATCTTCAGGGTTTGTTTCACACTATACATTAACATAATAATTAGCGTCTTATTCTTGCAAGCACTTGATTGTTCGATTTCCCTAATATAATATATTTCTCCTTAATGAACACAAA